CCTTTGCCAGCCCAAAAAGCTTCACTTTTTGCCCAATTCACTTTAGCTGATGAAGCTTTCTCATAAAGACTAAGTGCCTCAGATAGACAATTAATATCTCCAGCATTGTTTACAAAAACTGTAATATCATCAGCATAGGCAGATAGATACATTCTTGTGTCTAAAGAAAGACCAGGCACATTGAAACCTGACAGTCTATCTCGAAGTTTAAAAAGCAGCGGCTCAATTGCTAAACTATACAGTTGACCAGACAATGGACAGCCTTGCCTAATACCCCTTAAATTAGGAATTGGCCTACTCAAAGTGCCCCCTATCTTAACCATACATGATGCACCATTATATAATAACTGTATCAAATTTAAAAATGTTTCGCCAAAACCAAAAGCCTTCAATACATTAAAAAGATAGTTGTGATCCACACGGTCAAAAGCCTTTTCTTGATCCAAGGCAATTAACCCAACATTCACATCGAAACCATTACAAATATCCACAATGTCTCGGACTAAAAACAAATTATCTATAATGGACCGTTTTGGAATGCAGTATGACTGGTCCTTATGTACAACCAAACCCAAACAATGTTTTAATCTATTTGCTAGACATTTTGAGAAGATTTTATATTCTGTTGTAAGAAGGGCAACAGGACGCCAGTTCTTTAAAAGAGCTAAATCACCCTTCTTTGGTAACAGTGATAAAACCGCATATTGGCAGGAAGTTGGTAGAACACCTTCTCTAATAGATTCACACAAAACATCATAATAATCGTGCCCAATGCACAGGGGCGGAGTGGGACCAAAAAATCTACCGGGAAACTTCGTAGACCTCCGGCCCTCGTCGCCGGCACGATTAGCCAATAGCATTTACAGTTTTACTGATTTAAAGGGAACTTTGTTGTACTAGTATGCTGGAGTAAAGTTCATAAATGGTCGTTCTTTCCCATAGTACTTTCTAAAAGTAGTTGGGTGGACTCTGTGCCTCTAGGGGGGTTCGGGGGCATGCTCCCCCGCAAGAAAATTTTGGACATTTTAAGGTTATAATGCATCAATCTCATGCTCTCTGAGAGATCGAAATTAAGACCCAACTGCTCGTTGAACAAAGAAAAAACATTAATTTGTACCAGGACAATAAAGAGGGCTCAAATATTTTTTTAGTTATGAGAGTCTCAGTTTGCATTACATTATCAGTGGTGTTTTAGGATGCCAAACAATTATTATAATAATGTAATAATGATTTATAATTATTCCTATGACGTACTGTAAAATCCATTTATAGCCTATAAATGTGTAAATGAAAATGAGTATTTCAAAAGTATATTTTAACCTACATTACACTATAATATAGGAAAATTAAAATACTTTTGTCCTAATTTCTTCACTTGCAAGAAATAAACTCTTGAGCTTTTATTTAGGAGAAAACACCAGATGATCGCGAGAGCAAAGTTATCACGCAGAACAAACTGGATGCTATTCTGTCAGTTATTATAATGGCGCAACGCCATATGGTTTCAATTTTAGTTCGTTGGCAAAATATAACATAAAATATAAAATTAGGTTTTACATTTTACATCTTTACATATCTGTGTTGGGAAAAGGGAGAAGAGAGAGTTCGGCAAGGCGGATTCGAACTCGCGTTCAGCGCATCAAAAAGTTACATTCAAACACTTCACGTCTTACGACCTACGCCACTGAGGCTGTTCTATGACGGGTGTCGTTTTGCAGTAAAGACAGGGATTTAGTGCAAATATATGCTCCGTTATAAAAAATTAAAAAAAAAATGTTTTCTTCCCTTAGCTTGGGCCATGGCGAACTTCCAATAAATACATTTTATCAGACCGGGCCGGCCCTCGCGGCCTCGTAACACTACCGGCCCACCGGGAAAACTCCCGACTCTCCCGATTGCCACTCCGCTACTGCCAATGCAGTTCCAAAACCTTTTATAAAAGTCTGCCGGTAGTCCATCTATTCCAGGGGATCGTCCTGAATTAAGTTGTCCCACAGCAGCAGTCACTTCCCCAAAAGTTATACCATCATCCAGGACAGTTTTTGAACCAGAGTCCAGTTGAGGAAGACCTTGAAGAAGCTGTGTCATACAGTCACTACTTTCACAGTTCTCTGCAGCATAAAGTCTTGAATAAAACTCCACAGCATGGTTTCTCATTTCTACAGTCTTAGACGTTATCCGCCCATCAGGGAGTTTAAGACATGGCATTTGTTTTTGTTGAGCTGCCTTATATTCCAGGTTAAAGAAAAAAGACGTTGGGGCATCCATTTCTGCAAATGACATAAAACGAGACCTTATCAAGGCTCCTTTAACCTTCTCATTTAAGACTAGCCCGAGCTCTCTCTTTTTCATTTGCAAATTATTATACAATGTAGAATTTTGTGCATCAACCAACTGTAATTCCATTAAGTTAATCTGCTTTTCAAGTGTTTTAATCACATTATTTATTCTACTACTACAGTTCGCTGTATACTGCTGACAGAAATTTTTTATTTGAGTCTTGCCAACATCCCACCACTGTTTCAAGTTCTCAAAAGAACTCTTTTCCTTTTTCCACTCATCCCAAAAGAAAACAAAATTTTCACAAAACATAGCATCCTGCAGCAATTTTACATTAAAATGCCAATACACAGATTTTCTAGATGTATTTGACATGTTCATTGTCATAATAATTAAATGATGATCAGAAAAACCCATGGGACAAATGCAACACTCAATTACTCTACTATTAAAAGCTTTTGACACATAGAATCTATCTAGTCTTGCAGCACTGACTTGATTATTAAAAGCCTTAATCCATGTATACTGCCTATCATTTGGGTGTTTAATTCTCCACATATCCAAGAGCTGGAAATCTTGAATTAGTTTTGACAATGCACTTGAGGACTGTATGTGAGGTTCCTCTGTGTTACGATCTATAGTAAAATTAATAGTGCAATTCCAATCTCCACCAATAACAACACATCCTTCACTAAGACACTTTTTAAGACTTTGACTAAGTATATCCAAAAAATGCAGACGCTCTTGTCCCACAGTTGGTGCATAAATATTTATCAGAAAAACCATCATCTCTTGAACTTGAGCTTTAACCACCAACAATCGGCCCTTTACTGGTTCCTCTATGCTTATAATATCTGCCTTTATTTTTGAAGAAAAAAAATGCCTACACCTCTACTTAAATTTGTACCATGACTGAGTATTTTATGTCCTTTCCACCACAAATTCCACTTAACTTCATTTATCAAATCACTATGAGTTTCTTGGAGAAAAACGATATCAAGCTTTTTTTGCTCAGTTATTTCATAGACTGTAGCACGCTTTACACTATCTCTCCCACCATTAATATTTAAAGAGCCTATCCTCAAAGTTTACTTTTTTTTTTTTTTTTTGATTTACTTTTTTCTCTTACTCATTGCTTTACTTTTTCTGATAGTGGTAAGAAGCTTTTTCAAACGAAAACGCTTCTTCTCACAAAGTTCATCAATTCCAACATTCTTCTGATAAAAAGTAACAGAGTGAACAAACTTGTCTACATCGGAGAAGAAATCATTTATGTTGATTTGTTTACCATACGTTTCATCCAAAAACCTGTTTATTTCTTCCAGACTATACATCGAATCTCTATTGAAACCTCCTGAGAAAACTGTCTGAGATGCATTAAATACACTTCCCTGTGAACTACCATCATTTTCACACATAGAAACTTGTGATTCAGTATCATCAGACTGCTCCTCCTCCATTTCCTCATTATTCAACATGTTTGAAAGCGATTTAATTCCATCATTTGCACTTTCCCCCGTTTTAGCGTCACTGGTACTAGCCACTTCTTTATTAACATCAGAAACTATATCAGTTATGCTGATCCCTGGGGCACCCTCATTTCCCGTGTCAACAACAGCCGATAACACAGCATCTGTACTCGCATCACTCACCTCAACTGGTGGAACAACATCATCTTGGGCCGCATCAACGCTGTTTTCGCCCTCGTTTTGTGCACCTGTTCTCTTATGAGGACACATCAGGCGTTTGTGTCCAATGTCTCCACACTCGAAACATCTTATACTGCCGGTAGTTGCATACACCATATATAATCTTCCCTCGTGTTTCACGCGAAAATTAATATCCAGTGTATTCTCAGGTGATTCCAGCACCATGTAAACGTACCGTCTGAAAGACGCAACATGCTTCAGAGCCGGATGTTTACATCCAAGCGCAACAGTTTTAAAGGGACTAACAACTTTTCCAAAACGCGTTAACTCACGTTGCAAAACGTCATTGGATACGAAAGGCGGGATATTTGAAATTGTTACCTTTGTTGTCGATATATACATTGGAGAAAGTTGCACAAAAGCTTCTTTAACAGTAAGGCCACTTACTATCAAACGATTCACTAATTTTTGGTCCTTCAAAAAAACGACAACAGCCTGATTCATCCGCGACGCAGATACAATGTTCTCATGACCAATTTGATCGCCAACCGCAATTAACACATCCTCCACTGTGGCATTATCTTCAGGAACACACCTGAAGCCATTACGGAGTGATAATGGTGATGGCGTCTCATCAAGAGACGCCATCCTGCCACACAAGCACCACTATATTTACAATTCGTTTCCTAAACCATGTATTTTCTGAAAGGAAAAAGAACATGTAAATAAAAATGCAAGAAAGTTCTCACACTCACACAGCAGCTCTCACCACCACCACCACTATCCCCAACTCCCAGCATGCAACACACACACACACACACACAGAGAGAGAGAGAGAGAGAGAGAGAGAGAGAGAGAGAGAAGAAAATAAGACACTCTTTATTCTGTAAAGTCACAACATCTTCATCAGCAAATAAAACAGACAGAGGAAGAGAGATCTTCATCTTTATTTCACCAGATCACAAAATAATAAGGTGAAAATGTTTGTACAAATATAATGTTAATGTGTTCTAGTTTAAACAGTTGAAGTGATTTTAAGCATTTTGATTCTTGTATGTGAATGTGACTGACCTCAATCTCTCCAGTTTACAGTGTGAACCCTTCAGTACGGCACATAAGTGCTTCACTCCTGAGCTTCCTAGATCATTCCTGCTCAGGTCCAGATCTCTCAGGTGTGACGGGTTTGATTTCAGAGCTGAAGTCAGGATGAGACTCTGTTTCTTTGTAATACTGCAATCACTCAGACTGAAGACAGAGAAATAACAATAGTTCACATCTATGATGATCATCTTATTGAAGAGCTACAGCAGCATTTAGTTTCCAATAGTCTGTTTTAAAACCCAGTCACACTAGTTCTGTGCGCTGGAAGACACTGTTTCTTCTCTTTCATTTCTAACTATTTATTTGACGTCTCTCTTCTTTATTCTCTGTTGAAAATGCAGATTTCTGTGTGTACACAATCAGTACATTGTATCAGATGTTGGGAATTTAAAAAATTACAAACTACACTTTATTAACTAGATAAAAAACTGAAAAGATAAAGAACTAGAAAACAAATGTGAGCAATAGGGAAACCCATAAAGTGCACTGCTATAACCAATGAAACATAAGCCCTGCTGTCTTCAAATAAATAAACTTCAGTCACACTGTAATTGCTGTACAGTATAATGACACTAACTGTAGTTTCTCCAGCTTGAATTGTGGGTTCATCAGTAGATCACTGAGGTTTTTCACTCCAGAGTCTCCTAGTTTATTCCTGCTCAGGTCCAGCTCTCTCAGGTGTGACAGGTTTGATTTCAGAGCTGAAGTCACATCAGAACAACCTTCATCTGTCATATAACAGTATCTTAACCTACATTAGCAGAGAGAGAGAGAGAGAGAGAGAGAGAGAGAGAGAGAGAGAGAGAGAGAGAGAGAGAGAGAGAGAGAGAGAGATTTTTTAGAAAAACTTTACAATACATTGATCATTCACAGAAACTTTTACACATTACTTCATCTCAATTCATCAGAAAAAAATAAAGCATTATTTTCAACTTTACAAAGTACATCTCCATAAATCCAGATTTTTTCAAAATCCCATAAATTGTTCATATGTAAATAAAAGGAAAAGTCATGCTTAATTCTCGCTTTTACAAGCCCTTTAAACACACTCACAATATTACATTCATTTCCATGTTCAATTTTCTGTTTTTCTACTTGCATAAATAGACGTTTTTACTTGAACAATAATAAAATTGAGCAAACGCCCCATTTTTCTCTTTGTTTTTGAATCCTTAAAACCATAAATAAACACATTTATATTAAATATTTCACCAAAATCACTAAAAATCCCTTTCAACAGTTCAAACAGAGGCTTCAACCTCTCACAATGTGCAAAACAATGAAATACTGTTTCCCTCTGTTCACAAAAAACACAGTTTTCTTTTACAAGCGGATTAAGAATGGAAATAAAAGCATTAACGGCAATAATGCCATGCATAATTCTCCATTGCAGATCTCCAGTAAACTTTGTCAATGGTGGCTTGTAAAACGTACTCCACATAGGCTTAAAACTAGAATCCACACTTAAGTGACCTCTCCAAGGATTATCAGAACGATGTCTCAATTGTTCCTTATTTAACACTTTTACACACATTTTATAAAAACTCTTTCCATCAATAGACATAATATTTCGGTCCTTCCAAACTTTTGACATTGTTAGAGGACAATCATGATCTGGCAAGTCTGGAGAAATCCTTATTACTGGAAACAAATCCTTTGCATTTGGTTCACTTTTTAATGTTGAAAAGTCATAGAGAAGCGTCCATTCCTCTTCACATAATGAGTTTTGACATTTTTCCAACATCTGTCCAACTATTCTTTCAGACCGAAGTCCAAGTCTTTGAGTCAATGCAACAGATTTACTTAAATTCCATCCAGTCAGGGGCGCAACTACCCAGTTTCAGAGGGGTTTGCAGCAACAATTTTAGCGTCCTTTAAAAAAAGGACAAATAAATGTAATGCAAGTGTGCGGTATAAGTGAGTAGGAAGAAATGAGAGCTAACAGAAAAAAATAAGTGCAAAACTGTCGTTACCAGTGTTTCTCACAGGATTTTAGGTAAAACTGTGGGAGGTGGACCTCTGTTTCTCTAGGGGGGTTCGGGGGCATGCTCCCCTGTAAGAAAATGTTGTGTTCTGTAATGTTAAATTCAGCAGTCTGGTGCACTTTGAGAGTTCAAAATTAAAAGCTCCAACCCATATTCAGGGTGCAAATTAAACAAAGAAAAATTTGAACCTCTTTTAGTGTCTGTCTACATTACACTACTACATAATAGTAGTTATAATATTAATTCCATGATAGTAATAGCCATAAAGGCTATTGTAAAACAAATGCACAGAAAAATAAAGGAAACTTTCATAATTAGTTTTGCACTAATTTCTATACTTGAAAGATATAAGCGCATAATGACATGTTTCATGGGCCAGTGTGTCAGAAAAAAAAACTAAAGCTGACTTTTTTTGACCAATGCATTACACCAGCACAGCGCCGCCAATTAAGCAAAAAACAAAACAAAAACAAACAACAAACAAATGTATGAGTTTTGTGGGCCGTTAAGACAAATAAATTAAAAAAGGATGAAATGTATTGGCTGAAAAGCACGTCGGCCCAGCGGGAATCTCCCGGTAGTCCCGATGGCCACCGAGATATAGATAGCCTTCATGCCTGGATGTCACATTTTAAATCCTACCTGTTGGCTTTCAGCAATGCATACAGTTATTTAGCTGCTGTCGCATCAATTGACATGCCATCTCCTTTTCTCTCTTTCTTTTTCTATTTTTAGCCCCACAGCATTTTGTTTTATCCATCTTTTTCGACGACAACTCACTACTTGTGCTACTTGTTTCACTACACTACTACGGCGCCCCCGCCCGCTCGCGATATTACCCGCCCCCTTCTCCATGAGGCCTTCTACTCTAGCCTGGCTGTTAGTCCTCTAAAATTTTATATAACATTGAAGGAATGCAGAAATGATTTAGAAATGCACAACGGCAGCTACATATAGAAATAGCCTACAATATATCATATATATAATTTTTTTTTTTACCATCGCTTTGGCGCCCCCCATTGTGCTGCGCCCCTATGCGCCGCATATAGCATACCCAGTTTTTGCGCCACTGCATCCAGTCACTTCCACCAAGTCCTTCATTGTTATAATCTTCTCATTCTTCATTCTTTGTTCAAACCATGGTGCTATTTCACAGGACAAATTCAAACGAGATCCATTAATCAATGGTTCTCGCATTAACCATTAACTACACTCTTAGGAAGCCAATGCAATTTGTCCCAGAAAAAATTAACGAGAGAGGTTTGAATCTTCTCTAACAAGCCCACTGGGGGATCTAATACTGCCAGGCGATGCCATAACATAGACGCCACTAAGTTGTTAATTACAAGAATTCTCCCTCTAAATGACATTTTTTTTTCAAAAGCCATTTCCACCTCCCCAATCTTCCTTGAACTCTTTCTAAAACATTTTCCCAATTCTTTTGCATTGTGGTCTCATCACCCAAAAAAAACCCCAAATACTTAAAACCTATTTGCCCATACCATTCCCCCAGGCAAAATCGGGTTTTCAGCCCTCCAATCACCCATTAAAAATGCCGAACTCTTTGACCAATTAACTCTTGAAGAGGAAATTTTACCAAAATTTTCAACAATTTCTGTTAATGTCTTGTTGATCATTGACTAAAACTATTAAATCATCGGCATATGCCGACAATTTTACAGTTAAAGCACTATCATATTTGAAACCACAAATACTCTCCCTTATTTGATTTAGCATAGGTTCAATTAAGCAATCGAATACAACATACCAGACATTGAACATCCTTGTCTGATTGATTCCTCTTCCTACCTTAAACGGAGCACTCAAGCCACCATTGATCTTCAATATGCTTTCAATGTCATCATAAAGGACCTTTATCATTTCTATGAAACCAGGAGGAAAACCAAAAGCTTTAAAAGTGTCCCATTATAAGTAACCATGTTCCACCCGGTCAAAAGCTTTTTCCTGATCCAGTGAAACCAGAGCACACTTCAGGCCAAAAATCCTAGAAACCTCTAAAACATCTCTAATTAATGAGATATTGTCCACAATCGATCCTTCAGGTATACAATATGACTGATCCATATGTATTATCATTCCCATCACTTTTTTTAGCCGGTTAGCCAAAGTCTTTGATAAGATCTTACCCACATAGCAAACAGATCCGGAACGTATCTGCCGCGGAGGTAAGAACCAGGTCCGGAACGGAGTCCACTTGCACAGCGCAACGGATCCGGAACAGATCCGGATTGCGGATCCAGACTAGATCCGCGGCAGACCCTATCCGGATCCGATCTGGACCCGTTCATTTTGGAATGAAAACCTATCAGATCACTCATTCAAAACTAGTAATCTGGCCAAAACTACAAAAATATTTCAAATCTATTGGTGGGCCAACATTAGATAGACTGCCCACTAAACAACATGATGTCCAAAAGATGTCTTTTCAACGTCTTTGTCACAAAAGTCGGATGCTGAAAAGACGTCCACTGAGGAGCCAGAATTAAAGTTTATATGACGTGTTTTTTTGACGTGTTCTGCACGTCCGATGTAGACGTTCATCGAACCTTCGTACAAGTTTAAAAACTAGGCCAAATGTGGCCATCGTGTTTAAAACTCATGTTTATATCAATGTCATTTCCTTACATTGTTTAGATGAGGTTTAGATGTTGATATGTTTCATTTTAAGAAACCATTGTGGTGATGAGTGTTTGCTTTAGTTGGGCTCTTGGTCCCAATTCTTCTTACTTTATCTTCTCTTTGGTTATTGTAACTGTGTGTTTGTATAACACTATTGTTGTTGCATAGAAAGCCAAGAAAAAGTAAAAGCGGCTGTCATCAGCTCCTTGTTGATGATGACAAAAACGCAAAGCGAGCTTTTAATGATGTGTGTAGACTTTTGTCCTTATATCTGCTGTTTATAACCACCTATTTTGTGGAACTGCGTTATTTGGACCAGCACCATTACAATTGTTGCTTATTTGAAGGTCAATAAAAATCATGTGTACTCAATGTTTTGAGCAAATATGTCACATAGTCATACACAGACATCACGATTTTGCATATGATTCTCAACAACGGTGACAACCAAAACAAAAAAAGCTTGGGAATCAAGGATTTTTTGTACTTTGAAAACTACCCATCATGCATTGCAGCATGAAGCTTTTTTTATTGTCACCGTTCTTGTGATACATACGCAAAATCTTGATGTATGTGTGTGACTATAAGGTAAATTTCCTAATAACATTGTTTAACAAGCTTTTTTTTTATTCACCTTCTAATAAGTGTTAATTTTAATGGTATACAAATAACACAGTTCCACAAGATAGGTGGTTATAAATGGCAGAAATAAAGACTAAAGTCTAAACACAACATCAAATGCTCACTTTGTGACTTAGCAATGATAATCAACAAGCTGATGCCAGCATCTCACTTTTTCTTGGCTTTCTGTGCAACAACAATAGTGTTATACACTCACACAGTTACTACAACCAAAGTAAAGTTAAAGTAAGATGAATTGGGACCAAGAGCCCAACTAAAGCAAACACTCATCACCACAATGGTTTCTTAAAATGAAACATATCAACATCTAAACCTCATCTAAACAATGTAAGGAAATGACATTGA